TTCCTTTTAGATAAAATGGATAGATCGTAATAAAATCCTATACCTGATACCGATACGTACGTATCATTTACATATTCTTTAAACTGTTTTCCACACGTTGTCCTTTTTATGTATTTGCAGGAATCGAATTTTTTCACATACTATCAAAGTTTTCATCCGAAAAAATAGATTGAATGAAATTTTATTTTTGAAGATTTTTGAAGTAAAATGGCTTAGAAGAAGACATGATGTTTTTGTTTACTATTAGAAGAGGGCTTGATTTTTTGTTTATTATTAGAAGAGGACTTGATTTTTTGTTTACTATTTTTTCTTCAAAGTATTCTTTGTCTCGATGAAGCAGATGCCATGTGTGGAAGTAATAACGACAACGAAGATAACGGATGCCGCATGGAAAGTCTTCGAGTCAATCGAGAAATGACGTCTTCGTGGAAATCAGATTTTGGATCGGCAAAAATGCCTCTAATATCCTGTAACGCTTTTTGATAAATGATGTAAGAGGGCAGAGATTAATTAATAATATTCTGGCTTATCGGAGTTTAGCAAATTTTCTCCTAAGTTGTGTCAACTGTACCGCGTAAGTGGACGATCAATGGCGGTACAGATTACTGTTAACGCAATAGGAGAAAATTCACTAAACTCCGGGTAAGACAGAATATTAAATATTATTACATAAATTCTATGATGAAAAAATACAGTATCAAGAAAGTTTATTAAAGATTTTTGTTCAATTTACTGACACACCATAAAAAGATTTCTCTTATGCAAAACGATTTGAATAATAGATGCCGAACCAGTTTTTTATTTTTCAACATTTGCAATATAATAAGCGTGTTGTGTCCAGTTTTTTACTTTTCAACATTTGCAATATACCGTATTTTCCCAACATGTATACCCCCGTGGACTATACCCTGTAGCGTGCCAAATTTTGATTTATACCCGGGTATATAAGTATGGGAGTATCATACTTATGTACCCGGGCATATAATAGTAAAACATATCAAAAACATAGAAGTACTCGTACAGTATACCCCCCTACACACGTACCCGGGTACTAAAATGTGCTAGGGAAATACCCGTGTACACATGTTGGACATGTTGGGAAAATACGGTAATACGTAGTGTGTTGTGTTACAATTGTGTTATTCCGCTATAGATTTTGCTTAAATTTTATAAGTTTTATCCGCGCCTATTATACAACTAGTTTTTTTTTTTTTTTTTTTTTTTTTTTTAACCAATTAAACAATTAGAAACTTGTATAATTTGCGACGAAAAATAGCGCAATAAGGTAGCTGTGCGACGCTGTCGCACCAAAACAGGAACGTAGGTTAGTATATAATAAAACTTTTTGATTAGATATAGAAATGAATCAATCTAAAAAAAACAAAGGAATTGTTTATACTTAATAGTTACTTGGCACTTTGTGCCAAATAGCTATTAATTATAATTCAATTACACGATAATGTAAATTAGGAATTATAAAACCACTAAATATGTTAGTTCCTACTAAATCAACTGAATCTGTATGAGATAAGGTAGATGCCAATGTGTTTATATATGTTTCCGATTTAATTGGATACGATCAATTTAAGGTATTTGTAAATCTAAATTCATTATACATTTAGTTCTCTTTAAGTGTAATTCGTTGGGACCAGACTTTTGACAGCTTGCATTTAGAGAACAATTAAGAAAAATCACATTTATAAAGACTAAACATATAGAGAACAACTAAGAAAAATCGCATTTATAGAGACCAAACATATACTTGGATCAGAATTTAAAGTTGTATTTAGAAAGAATTGACTGTATCTACTAATGATCCTGGGCTTATTATAAAATTTATATAATTATTGAACCAAAACTTTAATTTACGTCAACTATTAAAGCGTTCATACCTATCTAAATTTAAATAGTTAACAATAAAGTTTATTTAATATAGCAAATAAAGCAGTCTTATACAAAGCGTTCCTGTCACCTTTAATCTACAAAATAGCATATGATAACACAGTAACTGATATCGTGTGACTGGTAATACGGTAATACAGTAATATGTGCGTACGTACGTATCGGTATCAGGTATAGGATTTTATTACGATCTATCCATTTTATCTAAAAGGAAGATGTGGAGGATCATAACAAACCAAACCATAACAAAAAAAGTAAGGATCAGGGATATATCGCTATTGGCATAAAATTTTAGGGTTAACAAAAATTTAGATCATTGTGTCTGAAATTCTACATCTTACATCTAATCAGAATCAAGATTCGAGTAGAACCATACACTACGTACTGTACGTACTGTACGTTGTACAGTACTATGTTCCTGGTATAAGGAAATTCGAATCCTCTAATGTCCCAAATTTCGAATTTGTGACACTACCTAGCTCTATCCAATCCTAGTCCGATCTTAATTTTCAAACTAAAAATCAATTTTTTTTTTACGTTAAATTTTCTTTTTTGGTTTATATCACTCGCAAAAATAGCAAAGTATTGGAATTACTATCGCTATAATTATTATGATTATCAAAAATTTACATCGTCATCAATAATAATATCTTTCCAAAGATTCCCAATTATACCTTATAGAAATATTTCCTAAATTATTCGGCTGTTTTCAAAAATGTGTGAACAACGATTTTCATATACCTATGTGGGGAATCAAAGAATCTGAAAATTTAGATTGGTGAAAATTAAAATTCCGATTAGAGCGGTTCTTGAAAACTTGGGAAATCTGTGAAATATTGTGAATTTCTCATGACATGGTGATCTGCACCTTTTTGAAAACGGTTATAACGATAACATCAATAAAGGTGTGTAAAACTGCTCGATACCTAAGTATCGAGGCAGTTTTTGTCTAGAATCAGTTCGGATCAAGCATGTGACATTGGGGTTCTACGTCAACCATGTAAATCAAAATTATTTGTGGTCCCATAATAAATTTTATTATTGAAGGTTTAA